GTGGAACATATAATTTTGATGCACAATAAATATACAATGTGCGAGAAGAAGAATAAGCACTTTCCACCCGTTAGAGGACCTACGGTTTCCAAGATAGAGTCTTGCCTGGTCGGGCAAGTTGCTCGTTCGAGCAATATTTCCCGATCGGGCAAGTGACAATGGACTGTCTGGGAAAATAAGCTCCTAAATTGCTCTTGTCAACAACCTGTTCCTCGGTCGGAATGGAAAACTACAGCCCTCCAAACATCCCGAAACATGTGTTTTTCTACTCTAAAAGCTCATACATGCTTAAAGTGGGACAAAAGTTTAGGCTGTTTTGTTTTTCGGTATTATTTCTTTAACCATGATAGCCAGACCGAAGATAGAATGATAGAAAAACGATCAAGGAGACCTTACTGATTGTAGTAGGATGAAAGAATATTGTGGAGGCCTGTACGAAGCGTTGTATCAACAGTTTGCTATGCATTATTGCAGGATGTTTTCAATGTTTGTGAGTCTGAGTGCAGAACTGCTTGTGCGTCATTAGACTTCTCATTTTGATCGCTTGATGTTTCCACTAAAGTTACTGAAAAGGATGGTTTTCTTGGTGACCACAGCTGCATACTCTTAGGCATACAACAGGTTTGTGTGTTTTTTGTTCGTGTTTTTCAAAAAATGGTTTGTATTTTAGCAACAGCATTTTCTGAATATGTGAAATTTTCTGAAATCAGCAGTTTTGTAGAGTAAACATTTCTCTACAAGATGGCATATAGTAGGCATTTTGAAAGTTGCTTGGTTTCTTTAAAAAAGCTTTTGATAGAATGGCCCAGCAGTTAAAAACTACAACAATATTGCGAAAATACAAACCATTTTTTGAAAAATACGTAAAAAACACTATTGTATACCTATACTTACTCTCATGATTTATTCTCTAATGTTGAACTAGTTTCGCTATCTGTGTGTTATCTTGAGACATTTCTTATTCATAGAAAACGTATTTTTTTCATGTCATGTGCATGAGTTTCGTGAGTCCAGCAGATAGTTTTCTTTTCGATCTGCGACCAACGAAATCTGAAATTTTCTTTCCGTGTTGAAATATAGATTAGAAGTGTTTTGGTATTGAGCAGAATGCGTAAATAATCTAAACTTTTAACTTCTAGAGTAGTACAAAGTAATTTGAGAGAAGGATCCCAGGTGTGGCTGTTCTGAAACCTTTCATTGGTTATTTCGATCTGTTTATTCGGTCATTTTCAACATACTAACAACAAAAAACAGCAACATAACCTATACATGGCTCTTTGTTTTTTCTGACATGGATGGAAAACACGTGATACATGCCAGAGATCGAAAGAAGAAAAACACAGACAAGTAAGACCCCCACCCGTTTTTATCGTAAACGTAAAAAAGAAAGTTGTTTTTGCTTTTGCTGTTTTCTGTTGTTAGTATGTTGAAAATGACCGAATAAACAGGTCGAAATGAAAGGTTTCAAAATAGCTGTATTAATTAATCTATTCTACACTAAATCCTTGCCCATTACAGTTTCTAAGAAAGAACTCAAAAAAATCTAGTATCATCCGACTCATCTAGACTACTAGATTTTTACTCGATTACAATTCTTTCGTAACGACAGTGGTAATCTAGTGATCGGACGATTGCTAGATTTTTCCTCAGCTGTAACTATCGGTTTATCGCCCGATAACTGATCGCTTTAACTGTTGCGAGTTGCACATGCAGATACATCTAGTTAAAAGTCCCTCTTCTAACTAGTAATCTAGATGACAACTACTCGTGCATTGCCTGATTACAGACGAAATGTATCTAGATTTTTCCCATAGATGATTTTTGCTTGGGTAAGGAAAGTAAGAGAGTCACTGCTTTAAACCAGAATGAAAGTTACAATTTTTGTTGTATTTTGACTGGAACGGTAACATTTCATGTTTTGTACACAATCTTTAAATAAGGTAGTGCTTGTCCATAACGATAAACAATATATTCGGTAAATCCGCTTGCTGAACCACGAATGGAGTGATAATTTTTTGGTGCTGATACAAGCGCTTTATTTGTTGTGTGCATCACATGTTCATTACCTAAAATAACTTTGTTATAGAACATAACTCGATTTTGTGATGTTGGATGACTAGGCGCATACATATGAGACTTAGTCGGATTATCCGCGAAATACGCTCCATGACCTGAAACAGAATGACATATTATTCAGTTTGCGTTAGATTCAACCTCTTCAGTTAATAATCAACTGATATGAAATGGTCGATTCATATTAGTGAAACAACTTTTTCTTGCAGAAGTATGCTAGGTGCCATAAATCACGTTTTCCGTGATGCACCTGTTTCACTTCGGTTACTTCTTTATAAAGTCCTGTGTAATTCCTGAGCTTGACTATCTGCAATCTATGTCTCAGAATTCATTACCCATACCGAGCTACTGGAATCTGTGCAGTGGTTAGCTGCCACAATTATTACTAGGAACTTTAGTTACCAAACTGGAAGTCGCGGTTTAGTAAAAGAGTTATAATTACCAGATTTGAAGAACAGGCGCCTTTACTTTCGTTTATTTAATTTCTATCGTTTACTCTACAACTACTCATTACTTAGTGCTTCTAATTTGATTACTTTTTCTTCCACTAGATCATCGGAACGTAATAGGCCCCATTCTCGCTGCGTCAGGGTACCTTTTAATTCCTTTTATTTTGAATTTGAAGAAGAATTTGAAACTGTAAAATCATCTTTCTTTGGCAGACTGCGGTTGAGTGTAAGTCACTACTAACCGAGTCCCTAGCTACTGCACCAAACTTACGCCTGTTTAAATTTGGTTTACGCTCTCTACTAAACTGTCGACTTTTCTTCTTGTGTTGTTATTTTTAACGTTCTATATGCGAACGTATCCTCCATTGTTCGAACTCATTTTAACTCTATGTGTTTGCTGATCATTGTTATGATCTTTTAGTACATATGTGAATGCACAGCAGAAGTTCTCGTCGAGATATTTTGTGCTAGCTATGTTTACAACTTGTGTTATTCATGACTTTTTGTCAAAATCTTTTTTTGCTCAGAATTTGGTGCTCTAGCGATCAAGAATTCTTGTGACTAAAAGGGTTTTTGATGGGATTTTGAAGCTTTTCCAGATATGTGGTTTTCTGGAAAACGTTTTGGAAAACTCCGGATTTCTCAGACACACTTTCAACGTATTCAGCATCGTTTTTAACCTATTCTGTGAAAATTCAAATGATTTTGAATGCAAAATGAGGAAGTTATGAAAACATCACCTGGCCGTTTTTCCTCGCTCAAAGAAGATGAATTTTTTCTCGGCGAGAAAAGAAATTTTAAAATTCTGTACACGTAACTTTGTTCGCCGTTTGAGGCGAAACTTTTCTGTGGCAAAAGAAAAATTTTCACCATGCACTCTAAAGCTGCGGACTTTTTGCAAAGTGGGCACGTCATTTTCGAAGCATTGGCATGGACGATATTTTTTGAGAATGAAAACATGGAGCAAAAAAGTTTTCAAACACATTTCTAGGCTCAGTTTCATTCAAGGATTTCGAATATCACGTCGAAAAAGTCAGAAATGAATAAAAACTGGAGCAAATTATGTTTAAAGCACTTTTCACCTATATTCACTATTCTAAGTTTTTCTCCGTGAAGAAGCGTTCAAATCGAAATAAAAGGGCAATATTCGTGATCAGCGCAGAAAACTGAATCAGAATATGTGCCTTTGATTCAAAAATAAACCCTGTAGAAACTAACTAACGCATTCTGGTATTGTGAGTAGAGTTTATCTACAACGGAGTGGTAGATGTTACCAATTTTTTAGATCTCGCTACTTACCATAAAATCCTTGTGTAGAATAGAATCTATCATCATATCCGTTATCCAGAATACTTTCCACATTTTCTACTCCTGTACCATGGTAAAGTTCTCTCTCATTTGGGTTTTCACCAGCACATTGCCTCGATATAAGTTTTTTCATTGCCTCATAAGCGTATTCAAGCACTGGATTTTTTATTTGTTCAATCGATATGATTTGTACATTATTATGTATTTTCTTCATATCCGAAACTATCGCTGTATATAAAGTACTTGTGCTAGGAAGCTCGTCTAAAACACAGTAATAGTTTGAATGTGGATCAGGTATGTATGTCATACGTTCTTCAGATGGTTTCCAGCCACGTGAAATCATTTTTGCAGTACGTTGCTGAATAAATATATCATCAGCACGTAATACATAAAAACATTTCTTTCGTATATTGTCAATAATCGTTTCTAAGTCAATCGGTATTTGTGCTCTACTAACACGCATGTGCGTTATGTCAACTCGCATACCAATAGCCTTGATAAAATCTCTTTTTAATACCAAATTATTTACGTCAAAATCGACACGATCGTGAGTTAACGTAACATGTGGCTCAATAAATTCAGCAATGAATGGACCACTCGTACGCTCTTTATCAAACAGTAAGACATATCTCCAACCTTGTTTGAACAGTTCAGCTTCGATGTCAAACTTGTATAATTCATCACGAAATTTATCAATATCGAAATAACGATCTATAGGCAAATGAAAATCTAGATCATTCGGTACCACGTCCTTATCTATGGACGGCAGACCGTTATTATAGGAAATCAAGTTAGTAGGATTGTTAGGTTT